ACATCGAGAATATTTGTTTAGTACAACTGTTTAGCATCGCTATGTAAGAAATCAATGTAATCAATCAAAGGGAACTAAACAAAGACACGTTATCCATGTGCTAATAAAAGCAAAAGAACGAAATAATCTCAAGTAATTCAATAAGTGAGTGGTTGATAAATGATACATACAGATAATCCGTGGTCACAGTGAGAAAGACGTATTATCAGATGAATAATGCATAACAAAATGGCAATAAGTAAGTCACCGTTCCATCAAATCAATCGCGAAAACAACACACTGAAAGAAGTTACAAAAATATATCAAAAAATAAATCAAAATTACTCGGATTGTTTCACAGTGACATTTAGATGATCAGACAGATAGATGATTTAAACAACGATTGATTTCATATCATATCGTATTCAAAATATTTAAGGATTAATACGAGACACTAAAAAACTGAATCCATTAGCCACGGATCTTTTCAACGGTGTATAAACATAATTTTGAAAATTATCAACTAGTGAATTATAACGAATGGTATAATAGAAAACATTTTGATCATCCCGATTCGATGAAACCGGTGTAGTTTCAAGTAGGACAATCACTCCACACATTACAACAAAAGCGGTCGCAAGTAGTGTAATCGAATACTTCATCATTGCACTTGATTGTTGATTATGATGAGCAAGTTCTTCTCGTTGATCACGTTGTTGCTGACAATCTCTGTTCACTGCATAACCACAAACAATTCCTGGCGACATTTCCCCGTTAGATATAATTGACTGATAGTTCAATTTCTTATTAGTTGGACCATTCGAACAAATTTTCTGATCGTCAACTATTCGAACAGCATCACCATTAGACACATGCGCATAAGTTGGAATTTCAGATTTCATCATCAATTCATCTCGTTGAGATAAAGCGATATGATTATCTAAAGTTTTATCCAAAGCATTAACTGCTTGTGTATAATCAGTTGCTGTGGTCACACAATTCTCCACACGTTTACGAACAACCATACTTGGCTAGAAACAAAATATGTATGAACAAAAAATGCAATCACTGAATTATTAATTAAATCAAAAAATTAAAATGGTTTCTCCACAGTTGTTAAATGTGCAACGAATCAACATTGTAAAAAAACCAATTTCTTTTATAAACTAATAAGGTATTTATTTAATTCTGAATGTAAGACAATAAACAATGTAGGTATTTCTATATCAACACAAGATAGGTTCTAACAGCTTTCATACTTACCATTTCCGACCATATTTAAAACAAACAGTTATAGTGTGACTGTAAGCTGACAGTCAATAATTAGTTACGCATTCACATTATCATGATAATATACCTGATTCTATACATAGTTCTATTTAAAAGAATACTCATTTGACAATGAATTTACAAACTAACATACACATTAAATCATTTCACTTATCTCGGGAGTCTCATTAGTGCCGATGGCCTCGTGTGTGACGAAATCTCAGCACACACATAGGACGCTCGACCGGCTTTTGCCAACATGCGTCACTTATAGCGTAGGCGAGATATCCATTTGTTGACTAAAGGATGAGTGTACTGTGCAGTAGTTCGCTCCACCCTACTTTATGGCTCCGAAACATGGCCAGTCAGAGTACAAGATATTCGTAGATTGCTTGTTTTCGATCACAAGTGTCTCCAAAGCATTGCTCGTGTATCATAGGACAACCGATTAAATAATGGTGTTGTTAGTAAACGGTTGCTAGATAGGGATGGCAGGTCAATAGATGAGGTACTGAAAATTCATAGGTTGAGGTGGTTGGGACATGTGTTGTGCATGCCTAACCACCGACTGCACAGTCGAGCTATGTTTTGCGATGTAGGAATAGGTTGGAAGAAAGATAGCAGCAGCCAAACTTAAACATTGCAGAAATCCATGAAGTCACTCACAACTATATTGAGGAAAGTCGGTAGGTGTCGAATACCTGGTTGGCGCTCGCCAGATGAGAGTAATCGATGGTTAGAGATCCTGAATGGCATGGCTCAAAACCGCTTACATTTGGGCACAGATGCATTCATTCTGTCATATTCTAAACTACTGAATTACTCATTACCTTTTCTTTTCCTTTATAAGTTTATTTTACCAGATTCTACTTACTGAATCATATCTTCGAACCCTAATCTCTGTTAATACTGCTAATACCTTCACTACCTCTACTTCTATCCGATGTCAATTAACAACTACATCTCTATGCTAATGTGGTATGGTAACTTGAATTGATATACGTACGAAGTTCTACGTTGCTGTGGATTGATTAACATTAAATCGTTATTTTATTTTACACAAAAGATCTAGGAATTAGCGCAGATAATGTGAGCAAATTTTATGTAAAACTATCGACATCTTGAAACAGAATACAAGGAAGAAAAACAATGAAGTAAAAAAAATACACAATAAATCGATCCTGTATGCACATTACACAGTGCAATGATATTGCACTAATCAATGTAAACAAACTACACTCATCTTTTTCATTTGAATAATCAAATATTCTAAAAACATACACTTTTAATCCAACATGTAGATCAAAATTATTTTAACATTTTAAATTATTTTGAATTCTCATAAGACGCACAAACAAATAAGTATATCAGAAACAATTCTACCACAAGAACAAAATGTTCACTCGACAATATTAACAAACATTGTCTTATCTTCTCAAGTGTCATTGCAAGACAGAATCTGCTAATAACCTTCTTTCTGAATAACTGTGATCAAGTAAACACAACTAAATAGATAAAAATCAACTTGGAAATTAAATAAGTCAGCTTTGTATTTGCTTAATTCTCACTACATACAATAACAAAAACACTTATTTGTTGATGATCACACAGCTGAACCAAAACTGAAACATACCTCTGAACACGTTTCAAGTGTCACTGACTGAATATTTGTTTTCTCACTGGAAACCGTCTGCCAAACAATTTGTGTCGGTTCAATCCACGATTCAACACAAGCTTCAACTACAAGATCTGCATCATCAGCAACTGCATCACTATCAAAAGGATTGATGAAAAAAAATATTCAAACTGAATTATATACATAGATATGTCGACAGACATGCAAATCACTCACATCCAATAAAAAAATAAAATCGTCTCTAATAAAACACTAGTGAAAAAGATATTCCACTGAACAAACGATAATTATTACAATAACAACCACTTACTTCCGCATTTTGTTTTCAATGTTGGGTGAGACCTTAGCACTGTCCAGTTTATCCTCCTCACATGGTTGTTCCAATACAGTGTCAGGAATACGTTCTAGAAACGAAACAACAACACACACAACTCATTTTATCAATTCCTCAACACACTGTGTTTAATCTCACTAGTATAAATAGTGAGAAAAAATGAAAATGCTAAGATTATGGAAAGCGAAATGACAAAATGGGAGTTTAATGGAACTTTAGTGACTAACATGAACTGATAGCACACTCATCTTAAGGAAATAAACATACTTGTTACATAGAAAAACGGCTATACATAAAATATATTTCTCAATCAAACAAAAAGACAATGTTATAAAAATGAAATGAATTCACAGATATATGTACATCTTATTGACGTTAATTAATGTTTGGTGTGATCACGGAAAGCTCTACAATAACATTACATAAATCAACGACGAAAAACAAATAGAACAAGATTTTACTCTATTTAAATAGTGTAAAGTTAGTTGATAAAATCGATATATTTTCTATAAAAAAAGAAGCATAATCACAGAATACGCAACTCATTAGGACAATTTGAAATGCGCTTATTCATCAAAAATGAGATTTATAAGCTAATCATTCAGCTTCTTACATAGGAACAGGTTTCCTGTTGAAAATGGAAGACATACCTTTTTACATGAGAACAAGCGATTTAGTCTTTGTGATGGGTGGCGCAAAAAAACAACGTTCAAACTTGTGATTTAATCGACAATATTGCTCATAACAATAATAAAACAAACTTAAATAATGAGACGGCGGAGCCTAACAATCACAAGATTAACTCTTCGGTACAACGCCAATCCAGGAACGTGGTAAACAAGCGACACCGAAGATTAAAAAAACTAAACTAAACAAAACTAACAACGTCGAACTATTCGATGAAAAAACTGTAAGTCAATTTGGATTATAGTTCGAAAAACATATTGTTAATAGATTCAACACGCTTCAAACAATAGTATGCTGAACGATTGCACAACTACTGCAATAAACATTCAAATTGTGTCCATAACAACTCAAATATCCTTTTCTGCCATTTTCACTACACTTAAACTCTGCTCAGTTTATTTACTAGTAAAACCCCCTATTACAAAAAAGCCCATCTAGGCATGGTGACATTTATGCATGCACAACGGCTTAACACTCTATCTGATCAAATTTCTCGTCAACAATAACATAGTCATTAACTAGTCACAGTGACAACAATACATAAATATTGTTATACACTTCATTAACATCACTTGTCTAGCGTTATATTACTTTCATACACTACATTCTCATAAGTATCTTGTAGATAAAGTTTATTTACATATGTAAGTACGTATCAGTACTCATGATTCTCAGTCTAACTACGTTTTTATAATAGCTAATTCAATGTATGCTTCTTTGCATAGATATCTATCTGTTCATTCTCAAAAATTATATCTCATTAACTGTAAGATATACAAGTTGACGCAACTTATACACTGGAAACTACTGTTACACAAAAATGACAACTTCAAATCAATGACTTCTACACATTCAGTATAATATAAACTTGTTTTATAGATCATAGGGAACTACTAACAACCGCATCAATTTGTTATTCTCTGTATATAAAAGCAAATTTGATTATTCAACATTGGTAAAAATGCACTAGTTGTTAATAAATTACTGTTAGCAATTATTATCATCGCTTTTTTTTATCACACAAAATGCACTACATATACAACAAATTAAATGCAGTTAACACATTACACAAACTATTTATTAGAAATATGTGAACGAGTATGTTTGGTAAATGAATGAAACGAGAAAAAAAATCAGTTGTTATTTGTGAATCACATAGATAGGTGGTGATGGAAACAAAACGTACTATATACAATACAGTGAAAAATACATTTTAGTTAGTGGGGTGATATTTGGAGATGAAGTGATGATAGTTGAGGTGATAGAGTTGACAGAATCAATCATCAAAATTCGTAGAACAAACTTTATCCTCAACTAGAAATTCAATTCACTGTAACGATTTTTAACATAAGTAACATTGTAAAACATCAGAAAAGTGTGAAATAATATATAATGAATAAAAACTACAACCAACAAAGCGTAAAACAATGGAACGAACATTACCTATATCTGTATCTGAAATTATTTAAACGTTCAAGACAAATACAACACATAACAGATAAGTATGATGTGAACAATAAATGTTTCATAATATACATATACGCACATAACAGTTACAAGTAGTATCTGTTCATCTATATTTCATACAATCAACATTCTTATATAGATTGAGATGATCACTAGTTAGCAGTATGATTAGCATAAGTACACTGGTTCATTTATAAATTTGTCGAATGGGTTACCTTAGTGGTTTAATATATATATCAAGACTTTCCATATAAGACTGAACGGTTCACATTCACACAGTAGACAATATGACATGTACCACATACATTGTAACATGTGATATAAATTAGGATGCAGCAGTGTCTAGTACATGGTATTTCGACGTTCACAGTCTTGGTGGAGAAACCATCACTGGTATTTATGCACGTCTATCTCACAAATTTCAAAAATGACGAATCAAGCATCATGGATCTCTCACTGTCAGTTACTACTACACAATCCACATTTCCATATATCCGCTATCAATTGAGCTAGCTGTTCATGGAATCGACATATTAGTAGCAACCGACCACTCAACTATAAATCCTAACCAACACGACTTGAGATAATCAATTTCTACATTGTCAACAGCAACAGGTTATACAAATAGTAAGATAAACATAAACAATGTATTTTGTGCAACGTAAACGTGTCGAAAAGGAAATGAGCAAAAATCAAACACACAATCCGATACCTTTTTGTCATTCAACAAAAAATCAATAATTTTTGTAAAAGAAAAATTCACCAATACTTCGCTAAAACTAGTTACATTCTCAGTAAGAACCAACACGCTAGGGGCTTTCCTCAAACTTTTCACTCTCCTTTATTTTCGAATTTACCGCCTAATAATTATGCATGTACTCCGTATAAAGCAACGCTATTTAGTATACATATATAGTGCTGTTAAACAGCGTAATAATCAAAGTTAGTGTCAGGGAAATAATCTTAGCGATAGTGTAGATTACATGCATTCATCCACAGTGAACACCAACTCTGAGATGCGGGTACCTCCGGATGACGAGTCCCAAATAGGACGAAACCCACTTCCTGAATTCCACTTCTACACATTTCTGATGCTTACTACTTATATTTAGAGTTTCCAATTTATTTTCATCTTCCTTCCATAAATTTAGCTCTCCTCTACTGATAGTACTCAGAACGATACACATAACTGCACTACATTCCACGAAATTTATACTTCTTATCCTTACAATTTCACGATAAAATATCTAAGCTTTTCTCCACACACGTACGTCACCAATGGTTGGAGACCTTGAACGAAATGGCCCAAAATCGTTTCCAATAGTGCAGGTGCATCCACTCATTGTGTTCTCTCTAATGCTAAACTTCTGAATTCCTCATCATCTCTATCTTTCTCTTTCTTAATTTATCTTACTGAATTATACTTATCGAATCATATCTTCGAACCCTAATCCTCTCCATTACTGCTAATAATTCTACTATCGCTATCACTCTTGGATTTCAACTGACAGTTGCGTCTCTGTGCTAATGCGGTATGGCGACCTGGACTGATGTACATACGTACGAAGTTCTGCGTTATATCTGTCTGTCTGTCCACAGCCATATAAACGTAGCAAATGAAAATCGTTTGAAAACAAGTTCGCAGAAAATATATCGCCACAAAGATGACATTCATGCTATAAATTGAATTTTATAATTTTCATCTGAAAATAGTACACACTACGGGACATTCATGTTTGCAATTGGTAAATTCATGGCAATAATAATAATGGTAATCATAAATTACTTTCGTTAATTCAAAAACAACATGTATGCAGTTGTGATGAGCATTGTGAGAAAGATTTATAATGAATGTATAACTGAACTATAACATGATCACAATAACATGATGAATAAGAGCATTCCTCAATATATGTGTAATAAGATTACAATTTAATGACAACTAACTGACTCAGAAGGGCATAATCATTGGAAGGCGAAACGTATGAAATAATCCATGATAAAATAATATATTATACAAAAATCAACTACATCAATACATGTCAATAAAAAAACAATCTTGACAACTTACTTGCTGGCATATCTGAAAATGCTGACATCAATGAACTAGCTTCATCTAACGTTCTAGTCCTTTCAAAACAACTATTTCCACAATAGTCAGTTGATGGTCGCAGTCTTCCCGGTAGTGTAGAACGATTAAAAGCTCCACTAGAATCTGAATTAGGATACATTCCAACTACTTTTCGGAAACTAGAAACTCTAAGAAAAAATGTGTTTTTAACAAACATCTGGTCAGTAGCAGAAATCTATAGGTAAAAATGGTATTATAACACTTCAAAAAAGTCTAAGTCCAATGGCTTAGGGTTTCAGTATTTTGCGAAATAGAAAAAAATGAAACATAACCCCACATAAAGCAGATATCATATGGAAATGGATAAACTCCCACTATTCATCCTTACATAGAAAGTATACGGCCTCGACAACCTGTACAACCATTATTATCGATGTAGCTATCGATCAGCGATTTCGCTAGCAGTTTATCATGTTTGTACCCGATGTTATAATCTGTTCACGTATCTAACCATACACTTTTTCTTCATGTTCACATGCTTTAAACAAGTTAGCAAATCTATCAGCATCGCAAACTTATCTCAAAATCTTCTTCTATTAGGTTTCACTCGTCACCAATATTTTCACATCTTCATACAAAATCATTAGACAACAAATCCATTCAAAACAAAGGTTATCATACCTATTGAAAGACTGTTGAGGTAGGTTAGTGATTGATCCAGTGAGAGCTCGAAGTTCTTGTTGTGACCGTCCACTGAAAAGAAAGAAATCGAGACAAACTATGTACAGTGAATACAATAGACGTAGCACAAGTCACAACAATCCGAAAAATATATTAGCCTTGGTAGTTTGGCACAAATAAACCACAACTGAATAAGTAGCTAAACTAAATGTTTTTTAAATGTGACATTACTCACAACGACTTCGGAAAATGCGATAAAAAATGTCATGAAAACAGGAAACCTGAATATGCCTATCTACCAATATTGGTTGCCTGTGACATGAAATCCAACACTAAGTTTATTTATGTTCACACGTCCAATCAGTTATAAACAACGTAGAACCTGACACACACATGTGCATCGGCTCAAATTGCCATACACCATCAAAGAAAATCCTAGAATAGAAGTAACACCGCACCACTAATTACAACAACTAAAATTGAGTATAGACGATGCTACTCAAGAAGGAAATATTCACTGACACAGAAAATAATCTCCATTAGTCAATTTACAAACTTAGTATCTAAGAGAAGACTAAAGGTGAACGCCTCCTTTTCACTGTCAACAATCTTGAGACATATTTTTTCACAAAGTGACTAACCATTGGTCATGGTTATCACACCGACCACGATCAGGTAGTCTACACCTACCTATGCAGATCAGACAAACAGTCAGTGTCTTCATGAACCAATGCTGTGACTTGGTTTGGCCACCTCTAGCTTTCTCCCAACCTACTTCGGCGGTTACACAGACGAAATTCGTCCTTCAATCACCTTACATTCGATGAAACTTCACTACTTCACCAATTCATTCGACATCTTTATCGCGTGTTCTGCGTTTAACTTCACGATTGCTAACAAGTTGGTTCGGACATGAACGAACAATACGTCGAGAGTACGTACAATCAACCATTAGTAACCAAAAAATACCCACTAGTTTTAAAAAGCCGAGTCTCACAGCTATAATGCAGGGAGCACAGAACTACTACACAGTAATTTAGTTCTTCTTCGCATACAGATATCTCACATACACCACATCTGATATACGTTGAAAAAGGCCAACAGGCCAAATCTGTACCAAGATTTCATCAAACACCAGCACACCAAGGTCGATCAACCTTGCAGAAGTCAAGTGATCGATGCATTCAAATACATCATTCTTCATCATTTATTCAAGCGTTGATGATGTAAACTATAACAGTAGTGAACTTTTGTATCTATACGGACAGAAACGTATCTCCAACATCATCGCACTGGTACTCAGGAAAGTTAGAAGACTTCACTTACAAGCTCACTCTCTTAATATATCAGATGGTATACACATTCATAGACATCAAAGTTAATAAACAACTCCACCATGTACATAAGTTTAGGTTAAGGTCAATTATACACTATACATTGTGTAAATTTACATTTCTTTATAATGTATACTTGACATTTTGAGTATAATTAATAAACTTGAGATTGTCGGTCTCAGTGAAGTACAATAATAAATTTAAAAGATATTCAAATAAAATTTGAATATATCATATTCTGATTATTTAATCAGAATGCATATAGCAGGTAATAAGTGTGTTCATCTTTTTACCAAGGTTCTCTTCTCCATCATAACACTTGGCCAGATAGACTATTCGTTGATATATATTCATCTTATCATCCAGATAGTAGACTAAACTAACAGTCTACTTATCATACGCATGTTGAATTCGTGAAATGTCATGTTCAACCGATAACACTGTCGAGTACTCACGACAGATGAAAATTGAATTAATTGGTTTTGGTAGTCTAAACGTACATGATTTTTTGAATGCAAGTCGACATTTCCACCTTTTTACCAGGTACAATATCGAAGCAGACCATAGTTTGAAAATTTCATTTTCGATCGCTAATTTCGATTTAAGTCGGTGTATAAACATCACATTAATGGCGATTTATTATGATGTGAATTGTGGATTTCTAACACATCAAAGTATTTCGCATAACAGCTGTTATCCTTAAAGAACATCCACAAACAACTTTCTAACTCGATGCTACTTACACACATTTACCACAAATTCACTACTGAGTATAAACAAATTAACTTCAACAATGTAGTGTTTAGGCACAGGATAACAAAACATTCTATGATACTTTTCCTTAATCAAGATCAAATTCGATTTATAAATTCGACAAAACGGAACGTCCAATTCTCATAACAGATTATCTGTGCTGACCTGATAAGCTTAAATGGTTCGCTTCAGTAAGCAACCTGTAACATTTTAACTTAGTTTCGCTGTTTATTATGCAAACAAAATATGCAATAGAGTGAAATAAGGTATGATTGATTAACTTAGTTAGGCAACAGTAACCAGATACAATCTCACCTAAATCGATATGTGTGACTTCGACTGAAGATACTTGTAGTAGGCTTGATTTTCCCCGCTTCACTAGATTGTTTCAAACTAAAGAAAAACTGCATCATTATTATTAGTAGTAGTATCAATAATACTAACTCGATGAATATGTACAAAAGAAAAACGGACAACTGATATAGCGAAAATAGAAATGTTAAGAAAATCTTTTTCACATTTCCTATGATGAAGGCACTTCACTTCACCAAAAATGAGACAATCGCCAATAACTCTAGGCACAAAAAAGCGAAAAACAAAACAAACTGAACAGTGACGGTAATTAAAAAAATATAGTTTCTTTTGGCACACACAATCAGCTTTAACTGAACACATACATTTTGTGTGCAAACATCATGTGCAGACTTGATTTTTGCCAATAACATTTTCTTTTCACATTTGCAAAACTATGAGCAAATCGATCGGCTTCATACTCAAAGGTCACATATTTTTTAAGGATAATATACACACAATATTTTTGTTTGGAATTTCACAAAAACGAATGCAACCTAAGACCAATATGATAAATAATAATAAGAAGAACAGAATTCCAAAGTATTCCAACTTAAATATATGATAAATGATGTTTCGACTAAATTTTTTAACCAGTTTTCAAATCAAAGGTAAAAGAGAACAGAACCAATTGTTAACAAAGTCTAATATGAGAATTACAAGTCTCAATTAGTTCAAACTTTGAAATTTAGCTCGTTTAATAATCCAAACAGGAACAAGAAATCAGTGAACGAAGAACATACAACATACGTTACTAATGTGCTGTATACCACTCACAACGTGGCACATATAAAGTGTGCAGCAGAGCCTATACATAAATAATCTGGTCTTCACTTGTTTGTGCGCTACGCTAATAAAAGCAATTGGTTGAAAACCACCCACGCTCAACAATAACACTGTAAGGAAACGATATAATCAGCGAACAATCAAACTGTTTCTTATTCAACCTCAGAACAACCACACCTTGTAATCCGATTGCACAAAGCTAAACTAAACTAAACGCAGTTGAATCGATCTATCCACACACTGTCCATCAACCAAATAACGTTGTTCTAGTGCTTGCTTACATCACATCACTGTTTTCTCATTGAGTTAAGTAGAGATTTGTTGTCATACGAGTGCTTTTCGGACTTCAGTAGAACACAAGTATTTTAGATGTAATCCGATGTTTCATTTTTAAACAAACATGTTCTTAGGAATATGGAAGTTCCAGGAGAGCTAAACAACTTGTATTCAAAGTCCCAAACATATGGACTTAGAATATTCTGACCTTTATAGCAGGCAAAACAAACATAAACATACTCATCTACCATAGATTTGGCCTCCGGTTTTAAATCGAGACATCAAACAGCATCATAAACCCTCTCAAGACTTAACAAGCCTATCAACTTTCATATAATTAGGAAATAGCATGAATAAATGGTCAGCCCCTATCGATCAGATGGAGTTAATGCCGGTGTTAATTCAAACAACAATCAAATTATCAAACCATCCAGAGTAGAAAACACAACTACAAAAGATCCATACTGTTGGTCTCTGATATCTAATGATTAACAGTTCAACTAGAATCAGTAAAAACAAACGGTTACAAAATACACCGAGAATTCTACACTAAATAAAAGGTGACAGAGATATCCATTATTACCAATGGAAATTAGACTCTTTTATGATTGTGTAAACGCGATTAATTGTGATAAAGTCATCGCAATAAACTATATTCCAATATTAATTGTTCTTTTACCACTGGTTATCATTCCCACGAAAAAAAATAATTAACATAAAAATAATAACAATTATACACAATTCTACAATAATAGAAAGTCCTCTTCATCTAATCTCAGTAGTATCAATTAAAATGTAGACTTACGTGAAGAACCATTTTCTATCAACAGCCCAACGCCAAAACGCTAACGCTGCACTTTTAGATTTACAACGAAATGAATGCACAACATATTTGGTCTAAGAATTAGAAATAAATAAACCAACATAAATTATTCACCAGATAGATATAGTTAAAGAGAGAAGAGTGATTAATACAGGTAGCCCATCGCCTTACTTCGATGGATACAAAACAGGAAAAAGTGTTAGTCAGTGTTCTCTTTCTTATCAAATGTACAAAACACAACAAAAAACGCTGCATTTCTCCCTTTTAAAACAAAACTAACAACCATTAAACACACCAAAATCAAGAAAAAATCTCTACAGTAGGAATCAATAAGGAACTATCTACACAAATACATTTTCATACACAACTAATAAAACAATGGACAACATTTTTATGAAGATAATAATAAATACCTATGCTGAAGAATTTGAACAATTTTCTTGGGGGTGTGAAAATGAACTAAAAGTGAAAGTTGCAGTTTAACTGTCATAACACTGAAATGATTGCCTCCAGAGACTTAATGATTAGATAACGTAGCTTTCTTATTTTCTTGATTGTTAGCAAAATAGAATAACTAGTCTCTCACCAACAATTAAGATACACCAATTCGTGAAAGAGAATATGCACATTTTCCCAGCTACAATCAATGACGTATCCAACTGTGAGATAAACGTATTACAATTCACGCATTAAAAACAGATGTTTGTGCATATGTATGCTATAATAAAAATAGTATGATAATCGCATTCCATATAATCACAAAATCTACACACTTTATTCAAAAAAGAGAGAAGATACACACATCCACACAACACAAGCAATGACGTCCTTGAATTGTGAAATGTTTGTCAAACAACATCATTGTTAATAACACAACAATACAGTTAGATAAACAGAGACCCAAATGTACTAGTCACACTGGATCTTCACTGCATATAGATGCAACCAACAAATAGTATTGTTATGCTTAAAGAAATAACTGAATTTTCTTGTCGCATTCATGATTAGAATATTCATTTTCTTCCTCCAAATGTGATTTTTATTAGCGTGTTCATCAGTACTGATCAACTAACTATCAACAGAGAAATTTCATTGTCTATTCAAAGTAATTGAAAAAACTGCTTCAAATCCCAATACACATAGTTTGACAAGTTTAACGTTGACAAACGGTCTACATTCCTCAAGATGAATATTCCTTTTGAATCCATAGAAATAAAATTATCAGTTGCGGATACACAACTGGCCAGATATAAACTAAAAATACGTTTCACGTACAAATGACAAATAAATACATACAAGGTTCTTGGTGAATATGTCATAGTTAGCAAACACAGCAACATAATAATGCTGAGATGAAATAAAAATTCAATCAATCAGTATCCAAAACAAATCTTCTTCATGAAATAATGACACATCTATATATATATAAATATATATATATATATATATATATATATATATATATATATATATGTATTATGTGGTAGTGCATTCAATTAACAAGTGACAAAATCAACAAGCTAAAACAATAATCTATAAAACACCATAATAACAATTTTTATGCAGAACGCTCACGCATACTCGTACTCATTACATACACAGATGAAACAACAACACAAATTAGTAGCATTCTTTTCTATAGAAATGAGATGGTTGAAATATTTCAATGTAGATTTTTGGATAAAATATGTTAGATTAAATCAATTTTAATCAGGAATAAGTAAAGTAACCAAACAACTTCACAACAAAACATATCAATAACAAAATTGTGATAAAACATATTGATATACCCGGAACAATCTTCTCCCAGCATCCGTCTAAAATAAATATGATGAGAATACAAAAGACATCACATGAAACATTGTACACTTGAATGTCGAAAACTTACATAACTTACTCAATAAACATGATCAAGGTTATACCATTTCTTTAAGTAGGAGGGCCATGATACACAGAATACAAAGTAAACATTGTGAGCGTGCATATTTTCGTGTTCACAAGATAATTTTGTCGATAATAAGTAGTATTTTTGCAAGACTATATGCAATGTTTTAGAAAGTAAGAAAGTTAAGAGACAACAGCAATCAGAAAGGAGAAAATTAGTGGATATCTGAGTCATTCAAAAACCTTAATAACACAACAAAAAAGAGAAGTGAAAATGCGATCGAAACAAAAATGTTCAATGAAAGAGAAAACAGTTGCGATTTCTCCCATTGCTTTGAAGTCACAAAAATAACCTAAAACAATTTGTTTTCAAGAAAAAATAACTAGTGTCGGAAGGAACTTTCGACGAATAGTTATTACTATTTGTGTACTACAAAATAGCAAAATACAAAACTTACATGATCTCTTTCCAGGTAAATTAAAAATAATTTACCATCACAGCCTAAACGGTGAATTTGATCCCTGAAAGTAGAAATAATCAGAATGAAATGTAAAAAGAGCAATTCATTACTAAACTTACATCAATTAACTTCAGACTAAATGTATGCAAACGAAGAATATTGCTAATGAAGTAAATTCAAATAACAATAAATCAGTGCATTTCACTATTTTCACGTAAATATTAACGGCATCAGTGAACACTCAATTGTGGAGTAGACCTATTATGTAATGACTTTCGAATAGTAACTAAACTCATAATACAATCTATCAGTTCATAAAATACCTTCACACATCTTTAAAAACTCTCTATCGTTAGAATGTAAACTGTATTTAGTGCATTCAACTAGTGAGCACTGAGAGTAAAGTTCAAAGTAAAAATTCATCTCCAACAATTTCTAATGTTAAATTTTGAAATGACTGTTTACATCCTGAAGAAGAGATATACGCAGTCGTTCTGGTAAAAACAATAAAAAAATATGAAATAACTTACACACAGAAACTAGTAGACTTCTTACATGTCATTATTACAAAATCATATGATAAAGAATTAAGTGGCCAATCAATTGATAATATAACCGTTAACATTGCTCAACTAATGTATTTTGAGTGCAAATAAGGTAGTGAAAGTCGAAGAGGACTAGTTCGTTGATCGCATACTACCTCTTCATTTTAAAATAGTAAATGAATTTAACTATAACCCTATGGCAACCAACTATAAGCACCCGATTGATCTCGATGTGAGCAGAGAATAAATATACCGAAGAGACTGGTTTCAAAATCATTCACAAAACAACTCATTATGAAAAACCTATTGCATCTACGTCCAACGGCATAATTCTTAAGACTCAAATTCTAATTTATAGGTAGCTACATATCATACTCGTAGTTAATTGCTTATTATGTGTAAACATAGATACATACAACACAATTATGCACAACATATCTTTTTACTTCTGGTAAATATTTTTCTTGGAGTTACAAAAACTCACCATGTGTATTCCGCGTTTCTTTGTCCGCCCACAAAAGTTACTACACCCGTACTAGTTAAACCCAAGTTGAAATTAGCTCCTTTAGGTAAAGTTACAGGTTGAGCATTCAAGGTGTCTAAGTTTCGGTTTCCATTAGTAGCTTTAACTTCAGTTGGCGATGAACTGTTCCCAATAGTTGAGGTTGAAATGGGTAAATGAACTTTTTGCATCGGCTTAAAAGTTGGATGGGAAAAGGAAATATTGAATTACATCGGAATCAAGTAAGACATCAGTTCATAGAAAAAATGAAAGCCTAGTAAGCTACACTGTTCCTTTGCTACGACAAGAAAAACTTACAATGCTTGCTTTTCGGGAATGTGCGTCGATTCAAGTTATCATATTCAAAAGAAAACATTGCAAGTAACTGGTATGAGTATTTTTTTTGGTCACGTCAAACTCCAAAAAATGAAATTAGTAGTTTGTATTCTACGCCTATACGCGTATGCTTCATGCATTACTGGAAAATAACTCGTTCGTATGACTAAGAAAAAGATCTATGACCCTTACTGTCTGAACAAAGCAGCAATAAACCCTAGTTCTAAATACGATATCTCGATACCACAAGCTCCTTTTCTCTCTTAGTCGAAGTTACGCCAAAAACGTTAGCACAACTTCTGCTCATTTAAATTTAGCATCCACAAGTACTGCAGAGATAGCCCGGTTTAGCTCCCCAGGGACGTCAATGAACGCCTTTCATCAATCTTATCTTGGCTTCAGAGATAGTACCGAAAGTGTTTCGATGCTTGCTTGTCGGTACGTACCGCTAAGAATTACCAAAAAAGAACAAATCAAACATTTTGCATTGCATAATTTCCAATAACTGACTAACCAGTAACAAATGGTGATGATATTTTACATACTAATCACCCGCACACAATATGATACAATAAACTCTCATTAGTTAACAATAATACACAGACAATAGATATGTGTGATATTTCACATTATAATCAAGATGATTATATTTGATCATCAAGCAAAATATAATGACAACAATCTCCAAGCACATAGTTATGTAGTAAATACTTATTGACATAATTCATGAGTGTGAAATTCACACTAATTCTAAACAATAACCCATATGTTGCAACAGCAAACAAACGAAAAAAGCCTAAAATTCGATCTCCATCACTTTTACAATTTCATAATAGCGTGAGAAAACTGGAAAACAAAATTATCATTATTATTATTATTACCCAAAATAAAAACTTGAATAGTAAGTAGTTGTCTTTCAAATTCCTAGTTCTGATAATTGGTTTACTTCTACACTTTTAATTCAAACAACATTATACAATACCCACTAATGAAATTTATTTGAGTAGTTTTTGAAGACTAGGCCTATATTCAAACGGATTGACAGTTGCTACATAGTGTAATATCGATTTGTATTGCAACCAGTAAAACACTTGTTTTACTTGCCTTAACGCTGATCTATGCTTTAAAACGAATTATTAGTTCAAAGCAAACACTTTAAACTCAATGCTAGAAAGTAGCTCACCATTGTAGTGAAATGCAATTTATATGGTAAGTTAGAAACATAAGCAACAAGAAACTACTTTACAAATATAATTTAAACAAATACTGATTTCAAACATTTATTCAACCGATTAAAATTCCATAAATACCGTAGCTGGTACAGGATCGATCCCATAGGTTGGCAATTGTGATGCACATACGAGAAGTTCAGTTTCTGCTTCAACCGGTTTAAGACCACTGAAAGTTTTAAAAAAATACATCACGTCAGAATGTTACGACATATGACTAAGCAGAAGCCTCAATATTAAGAAGACAAATTTCAATGTTTCAACAAATGGAAAGACAATACGAACAGCCTTGATTCCAACACATGATAAACGCAGAGAAAATACTGTAAGAATAAGTTTCATCCTAATAATATTCTTATCTTTCGCAGATCGTCCAATAAAATGCTCCATTCCTAGTTTAACAACAGCTAAAAGTCAAAGACTTAATTCTTCCAACCGAAGATTTTATAATGATGTTCAGCTACAGATCTACTTTGAGAGAATTTTATGAATTATGAGGAGTCGAATCATTTTTGAGAAAAAACTGATAAGCCTTTAGTGCCAAATATATTGACCGACAAATTCTAATAAAATCCACGTACAGTAGACAGAAAAATATTCCTTTCGGTGACTAGTCAGTATTTATTATCGTACTTTCAAAATTTGCAATTGACTCTCAATTAAGTTATTTAAAAATACAACTAAGAGAAATAAAACCTACAAATGACTGAGGTGTTCCTAATCAAGAGGGAAATTTCCATTAGTGTTAGTGAATTTTAGGCTGTCATGCAAACTAATCCTTCAATTAAGCAGTCCTCAAATTACGCTAATCAATGTTAATCTTCATGAGATCAGTAATGCCACTAATTATTCCATACAAAAGTTAGATCCATACACTCAATACAAAGCATCTAGAGTGCAGTCACAAATGATACACACTAGCAGTCAGTTTGATCGATTAATACCAATTTTTAACTTAATAGTCGATTATTCAGCTATATCTACTATTTGGACAGTTCAATGGATAGACATATAAGCTTAACGTTTTAAAAACAGAAAAAATATATGAGCACATATGAGATACATTGGCACGAAAATCGAATTTATTGTCTTTCTACTCCAGTCACATTCAATCAAGTCATAAAAGTGACTAAGGTAAATCGTCACATGATTCCTATTATTGATTATCTAGTGTAAAATAAACCACAATTCAGAAAATGGAACTACTTATTCTTTAAGATAAACTAACTAGAGCTGTTTAGGTCCGGGTGACTTAATCCAATCAAATAAGTTTCTTATGGGTGCTCATTGAGATTGAGGTTAAATCAAAATGTTTGTACAGAACTCACGCCAATTATATGCAGATGTTTAGGTTTGATGCCATAGAATAGTTATGCAATGATGTCTTATGCTATAATACATAAGCTAAGTGTGTGTGACATATCTAAATCACAAGCCTCATTACGTTACGGTATCGCCATCAATTTACTGTATTTATATACTCTCTTAATAAAACTAGCTGATAGCAGAAATAGCTACGTAACATATTACCGACGACAAGTGTTTTATATACATGAGAGTTCCGAATAAACAGTGAGAACTCCACTACCTTACATGGTCAGCATCTAAGTGGCCGGTACTTCTAGAAGCAAGTAAGCTTTTCAAGTGATTCAAAATGTCTTGATCTGACGAAATGTAGAATTAATTACTGTTAGGATGGCGTCCCAGAAGCCTTCAGAAGCTCCTAAGAAGCCGAAGCGCTTCCGTCCAATCTCAGCTCCATAGAATTTCTAGTGTCGATGTGACAGGAATGATGACGTATTATCTCTAGTTGAGGATTGGACGATTATATATGTTGTTTTCACTCCATACAGAAAGCTATCAATACACACGTTTTATTTGTACATATTGGACACTTCCGTTTCTTATCGGATTTTGTTTTGCGACCTGGGCTGGTTCTACTTGTCCTAGTGCCAAAGGTCGAATTGTGTATTAATCGTCTTAGTAGCAAACTTAACAATTACATGTAGACTTTTTAGTGCAGTGACATGACTAACTTAGCCAAAGAAGTAAAAATTACTTCCTGCACATGAAACCAGGGGCTTGAGGAGGATATCTCCCGTTTAAACCAATCCGGGAGATAGAAAGAAGGTTCATTAAGAAGCTTTGAAAAAGACTTGTTCCACATGTGTAATGAACACGGTCTCTAAAATCCGAAGGAAAAAACGTTTGGATCTGTTCTTTTCTCTCACTACTACTACGGGTGCATCTCTTATCACTAAAAACATACTTTCGTTGACGACACACATCTAAAAATTCAGAGGTGAGAATTGATTTAAAAACCTGGCGGGTACCATATCCTTCACATGCGTTATGTTTACTTTTAGTGCTATTAAATTTCTACTTAAAAAAGTGCTTTTCATTTTTTTAACGGTAGGTTAGTGAGAAATATTTTGTACTGTAGACATATGTTTAATATGTGGACCGCCTACATACAGTAGCAGAGATTTGTCGAAGTCTCTTGACGACAAATGATGATAGTGTCATATTAATTTACTTTGCTATGCTAACAAATGACAAAATACAATTATAAATTTGTTCAATGATCTAATTCCTTAAAACAAATGACCTACAAACTATTTATTGTAGTTTAAATTGAAGAATTAAAAGAAAAAAATCATGTGCTAGAAATTTCAGGCATGACAAGGAGCGGAGACATTGTTAGTTAGTTGATGAGTGTTAGTTGCACGATAAATATGTCAAGATTCGAAAATAGACACTGGCCAATAACCACTATGGTAGTCTCAGAGGACTAGTTAACATGAAGTCAGTCATCCGGTAATTCTATAAACTTAGGTGCATGACTTAAATGAATGAGTATGCACCATTGCCAATAATATACATACGCAACGGATCGATACAAAGGTCTTCTACTAAATGAGATCAAGTGACCGGATATACATAGGTACGACTTTACAGTGATCATATGACAGACAGTCAACTAAGAAATAAGTTGAGACTAAAGGACTGGACTTTAGATTATGTGGAATACCACACAAATTTTAAATCAACAAGTGCACACCAAAAATACTTATTAAAATGAACATTTAAATTGTTCAAAACCTTAGTATTTGTGTACGCATATGTTGACTTTCAGGTGTGCTACTGAAAAATGTACACAGTGAAATGAAAAAAATATACTGAGACTATAGCAGCATATGTACTTACCATTGATGTATTCATTCAAAAAGGTCTATCTTATAACCATCTTTTGCCAGTATAGGAACATCAGAGAAAATATACAAAATTTCTACAAATGCTTTCATGCAATAAAATTTGTGTGAACCGTTCTCATCTAGTTTACCTAATACTGCTATACCTTGTTTTTTAACTTCTCATTATGATCACATTTTGGAAAAATTCATACATACCCTTGATATTTGAAATAGCTTTTTTCATTTTCAATAAATATAATTCAACCAAATCAACAATTACATGATTAGACAATTGCTAGTGTTCGCATTTTTTCCAGACTCGTGAAAGCGTTATAATAACAATAATATTTGGTATTATAATTTAAATCAACTTCGTGATCCCACACTAATCTAATCGTATTATGGATTAGTTGGTAAAATTAATGAACAGTGAACTAATTAGGAGTCACTTTGTAAACATCTTTATCCCACTCAATTTAGTGACTGTAATTAAATGAAACTGCTGACTTTAAAATTATTATTTCGATAACAACTACTCTATAATCAAAACTAATCCTTTAGCTCAATATTTACTGGAAAAGTTTAATTAATTTAGGTAGTGCATCCTACGAATCTGTGACTGTCATTAGAGGTATTTCATCCTCTCTTATAGACTAGGACAATCAGTGATCGAAACCAGTCAGATGGGATCGCATCCAGTTCCCAGATTCTAGCTAAGATCTTAGTCAATCCGTAAAAATCTCAGGGGTAAATCCATCAGGTCCTGCTCCTCCCCTCGCTTGAGATTGAACTACAACACCATAAGATCCACCCAGGCGCCCTTCCGTTTCGCCCAATTTACCCACTTCAGCATTAAAATCACTAGCCACGATTACTACATCAGAGCGCTTAGCTTTTTGAAGAAGGTTAGAGAGCTTTCCGTAAAATTCATCTTTTACCTCTCCTGGGTCACAATCAGTCTGAGCGTAGGTAGAGACAGCAACGACGAGTGTCTCTATTTTTCAGTTCTCACTGTACCGTTTAGTCGGACAGCGCACAAGTGACTGTCTACTGGAATCCAGTCTAAGAGAGCTAGTTCTGCTTTAGAACCCAACGCTATACCTACCTGGAGCGGTAGGACCTAAAGAAACAAGTGTTTCAGCCAATTTAGCTCGGTTGAGTCATCATGATTGGCAAGCCTGGCCACCACGTCAAGGTAACAGCTACGATCGGGATAAAATTAACTCAAGATGTGGAATATATTTGGTTGAATTCTGTGACAATAACTCCATTTCCTTCTTCTTTTTTGCACATAAGAATATCTTTTGCAAGCTCAATAGATCCATATCCGAATGAAACCTGTTTCATGATTTATGGACGAGTACAATACCAAATAATGCAAATAAAATTAAGGGGGATTCGTAGATTCGAGGACACTAGAATACAGTATACCTCTGGATCTTTACAAGGATGGGAACGACATTCTGGCAAATACAGACACTAAGCTACTCAAAAATTATGTCGAAACTGAAAGCTTTCCAATACTGTACAATGAATTCACTTATGTACCCAACCGTGAAAATCCATGTGTAGTATATGGGACGACATTCAGCGCATTCATATATTGCCGAATGTCAAGATTATAAAACTTTCAGTGAAAAAAAGTCATACTCCTTGATTTTCTGACTAAAGGAAACATTGCTGAGTATTTTCGTCATACACCGATATATTACGGAAGACGGGAGAGATTACATGCTTTCACAAGGTCACGTGGTAAGTAGAAAATGTAAATGTGGGCGACCTATTATCGGTGAATAAATTACCCGACTGGAAGAGGTGAAAACTATTATATGGCTGTTTGGATTAGATAGGTATCGTGTATATATGAAAGAGTTGTGAATACTACTATTAGGCTCTTCTCAATACAATCTCTCCTACAAAGTGTTGCCTTTCTATTTCTGCGCAGTGAGCCAGTTAGGCGTTTAGGAAGCATGCATCAGTAGAGTACATAAAACAATTCAAGTAGATTGGAGACATACAAGCAGTTATTTACATTATTCCACACACAAACTTTAAGAATCAAACAGACATGAACAACGAGTGTAGCCTTAAATTTATGCTTATAAACATATCATTATTCCATTATTAACGTTCCACCCACTGAACAAATTATCAAGACTAACCTTCGTGATGATGCATAGATTCACGAAGTATTAAATCTTAAATATTTTCCACTAAACTCATTCCTCAAACATAACTATGTATATATTTTAAGAAACGAATTATAATAGCCTAAAAAATCTCTTTTCCAGTAATGTACATTGACACCGTTTATCCAAAATGATAACGTAGAAAAATCAAATTACCGGAGCTTTGGGTATTCCTTCATTATTTGTGCTTCAACTTCCAGCGTTTGATTGAAAATTATTTTCAATTTACGTAGCATGTCACGGCATGCAGTATAATCCGACGTATCTCCTTGTATACATTGATCACAATTGTTACTGCTGGACCTTGTGGTAGACTCAGTAGACTTCACACTGTCCGACCTTGAATCACATAAAGCTGGTGTACACTGACTAACATCACCACTTAGTGTTTCAACATGTTCTGATGGCGCATCACCGATTTCAGCTAAAAGAAATTTCGTCAATTCAGAAAAAACACCTCTGATTTGATCAAGTAGATAAAACATAAATATGATATAGCATGTGACCAAAATTGCACTATTTGAATATGGAAAGTGCACAACTCATCGAACAGATAGTGGCGACCGTCTGCTGCAGCTATGCTTAGATAACCTCCTATGTCTGACAAATGCCAACTTTGAACACAAGGAGAAACGTCTTTCGACATGTCGACCCTCAAGACCGACTCAATGCTGGACCCAATTAGACCACATTGATATCAACCACCGTGAAGAGGCTCGATAGAAGACTGACACTCGTTCTGGAGTACATTATTAGATTTAGATCATGCTCTAGTACGAGCAAGTATTTGTCTTCTGCTTACTGGACGTAAGAAAGATATCGCAAGGAAACTTCTTAGGGTTATACCTAATGATAGCATAGCCGAGAATATATTTCAGGAGCAACTAGAAAGTGATGCTCACTCCGAGGCAGCTTGAAATGACACCCAGAAGCTGAGCAAACAGCAGTGATATCTGCTGGTAAGTATTGGTATTGAGGATCCAACTGTTAGCGGGAATCTCTCGGCGTAGCAGAGGTAGTAAAGGTATTAGAAGTAATCAGAGAGGTTAGGATTAGATATTATTCAAGAAGTATGATTCAGTGAGATAAGTTTAGAAAGACAAAACAGCAAAATAAATAACGAACGTAATTCCATCGAAAACCTTAATTAATAAATTAGTGGTGTTATATACCTTACGCTACTGAGTGCTTGGAAATTTGAAGTGTAAATTTCTGGTAAGCATCCAGCAGTGAAGAACAGAAAATCTGAACGCGTAAAGAAAGCACGTTTATAAATTATTTCATGGACAGTATGTACGGAAATGGTCAATGCATTGTAACAATACGAAACTGATTGAAACGAGAACAAAATTCCAAGATTTTAGTATTTTATGAATGACGGAATGGATTAATTTTTGTTTACTTTAATATAACCCACTAACCAGGTACAAGTTTACACTATATCTTGGTCTCTTCAGAGAAATAAAATGGGATTTTTACCAGCTATACATCGGTTGATAACCGAATGCTTCGACTGATAAAACGTTAGGAAACCTTAAATATTAAGAAACCTATAAACACTGTGAAAACACTCTGGATCTTTATATATATATATATATATATATATATATATATATATATATATATATATACGTCTCTCACCTTGAGCGACCAGTGCTCCAAGTTTTCCGACAATAGATGGAGGACACAAAAGACGTCCCTGGGTTAAATCTCGACGTATTTGGAGATAAACCAAGTATCTGTCAAAATGTATGAGAGATTAAAGACAATACAAACTGAGAGCGAAATCTCTACTTCCAAAGGCATACCTTTTTAATTATCCACAATATACACTCATCATCAGCTTCATTACAAAACTAGCCAAAATAGGAATAAGTGAAAGTACAGTGATGACGTATGATAAAAACGACGTTTTACACAGTTTATTACGAAAGTGCAAATAACAATGACTCAAACTCTTGGTGTTAACGTCCTGATTTCAGTAGAACAACTTCAAGCGGATATACATAACTTGGAACTTGCTTAAAGAAAGATTGCCATTAAGAATATACTAGAGTAACTATTCTCATGACTCTAAACATAATTCGAACCACAGACACGTCAACTAGTTTGACATTTGATGATATCCTCCTTGAATCAATCCATATTTCAAGCATACGGAAACGGACGTCGATTAACAGTGGTAAATTTACAGATTGTAACATCAAAAGTACATGCTACAATGTTACACGTGAAAAAAATCTATAAAATCTGACTTGGAGAACTGGAACTGTTTCACTTTTCGTATACGGTGTCTGAATTATCATAAAATACTGATAGAAACCATTTCGATGAAAATGCATAACATGAAAGGTGTCAAATAGTTCTGGATAGAACAAAAGCTTTGACTTGACGAGGTGCCATATACAGAAGCAACGAATCACCAATGCATCTAGGTAGGAACCAAGGCAAACGAGAACAAGAGGACCTTTGATAAATCAATATGAGACACCACAGAATGTCAACATGGCTTCTCTCAAAGAACCTCTAGGAAACTAATTAGACTACTTTAGACTATATGAATTTTTAGACCTGAGAACCATCATGCAGTAGTAGATATGGCTACAATCCAGACAGAAATACTGGGTCTTTAGCTCACAATATTTCATTTCTAAGGTTTGTAACAAGACTAAGCTTAGAGTACGTGCTTCGAAGGACGTTCAAGGATACTTATTATCTGTAATTTACTCTCAAGCCATATCTAAGCATACAAACCCTTACCAGAGCGTACTAAAAGCAATAAACATGCCATCGAAATTAAAAAAAATTATCAAACAAAATGAGGGATACCTGGAAATATTCTGTGCCAAGTCATTAACAGGATCCGGAGGATAATGCTTCACTCGGAAGTTCAACACGAAAGATTTGCAGTCTACAAAGCATAGAGGTTGCCGCATTAACACATACCTTTTAGCTGTTTGTAAACACTTTTTTCCAACTCTAGCCATTGCTAAAAGATTCACTTCAAAGAAATATGATTTACCCGAATATTTTTTTTGCCGGTATATCTCAGACCGAAGTAGTCGCACTCGACCAAGTCACCGATCGACTGACACACTTTTTCAAAAAGAATCGAACCCTTATCGGTTTTCTAAAACATTACAATCACCAATGAACAGCAAACCTTTATTGAAACTTCAATGGGAGTTTGGGAATCATCCAACAATCTAACTTTGCAACAGATTAAATCACTAGTTTTAGTGTTATCATGTGGAACATTTTCGCTAACTCCGTTGTCAGAGTCGCCTGATTTTTGTTTCTTTGAAGACTCTCTACTTTTATTCCTCTTCAATGACACCATTCGTAGAGGCACCAACGACAAAACAGAACAGTGCGCCAACTGAGATCCCGCCCGCAGACGAATTAGTTACCAGTTCCAATATCCAATATCTTTTTCACAAGCTAGTTTAAACTGGTTGATTTCTTTGCGCTTGACTCTTGTTCTTTCTATAGAGTTATAGGTATTCGATAATGTCTAGTTGATGGTAGTCCAGCTACTCGACTGCACTAATTCTAATCAGTTGGCAGTTACTTGTGAATTTGCATGTCCCGTGGTTCGAATGAGTGCGTTTGTCTCAAGGATATCCGCAGCTATCGTGCTACCAGGCCAGAGGTCAGTTATTTGCGATGTGTAGCATGGTATAGAGAAAATTCTAGTGCCAATGAGAAGATTTTAGAGGCAAAGCAATAGATAAGTGAATTAATTGGCAGTGAAGATTGTATGAGAGGACAGAAGTGTCAGTAACGAAAAGGAAACAAAGATATTAAACGCGATGGAATAAGTTGGTGACCTGAGGAAATGTCAGCGATAACAACAAGGAAGTCTCGTGACATGCATCAGGCAAAGCTGGTCCAAGCGGGGGATGATAATCTTTATGCGAGTACGTGTTTGTCAGGTCTCTTTTTGGAACTATTCACTGAGGGTCTGTGGTCACTTCGGCTGGAGAGCATTCCAAGTTGGGACAATCCCGAATGAGACAAGTGGGTACCTATGTGATTGTCCACCTGTTGATGTGCAACTTTTCTAAGGTTACCCCGAGGGGCGTGATGGTGATGTTTCGCAAGATGGACACGTCGGGATAACCCGGTGTAATAATAATAACAATAATACTAATACATTTATTTTCAAATAACTACGTTACAAGAGTCACACCAGTTTACAGGCTAGATCAAATTGTCAAAAATTCTTCCACACTTATTGTAAAAGTTATAGCAGTTAAATTAAGTAAAAGAGTCAGTTTCTGATAGCATATTTACACCATGTCACTGACAGAAACAGTATAATACAGCCACATGTTGTATGTCACCCGTGGACGCGTTGGTTGTCGGTTGGGTTGAACAAGTAACAACATTCGTTAAACGTTTACTATGCATGATACATTCGTCGTATGACTTCTTATTTTGATTTGCTGCTTTATATCAGCCAACAATATCTATTAATAATATTGTTCTGAAAATCCTCACTTGATCAACTGCACTTTACTGTGGCGGTTACTCCGATATAAGCTTACAATAAACAACAATAGGACAAAAACGAGTTGAATGGGAAAAGATGTGATTCCTAAACTAGTCCGTTTCGGCTGTGTGTGACAAAGTTGTAAGCATGTGAAATACGAGATGTTTCAAGGAGGCTAAAACAAAAGTCAATTATCGCTCTCAAATAGACTGCTGCTCGGACACTCCTAGTTTTAACTTGGTCAGCTACTGAGAGAAGAGATCCTTGATATAAATGTGATCTAGGTTCACAGGTCATAACGATTTTCTCATTATTCGATTCTTTTTAGCATACATTTTTTGGAATATATATATATATATATATATATATATATATATTATTTGGACAGTGATGTTGTCGATGACAATCGATCTTAGCCGCTATCAACCCATTTTGGTTTTAATACTTTTATGTCTGGTCCTCCTGGCCGATCACCTTTTAAGCCTTTCACTAAATTGACTTACCCCACTCCACCTAATCCAATGAATTTTCAAAACGATCCATCCTTCTCCTCTCTAGCGACTACCTCATCTGTTCTCCGGGTATCATCGGTTAACTCTGAGCAACGATATCTACCACCCACAAGATGCCCATCGTGCTTCCCCAAAAGATAAGTATTCATCTTATGCAACACTAATGCTAATTGTTTCCCAATCTGTAATCAATAAGATGACTCAACTACACTCGCTGATAATTTTAAACAATCCTCCACTTCTCCTGATTAACGAAAGTTGGTTGTCCTCCGATGTCCCAGATTCATTCCTTCATTCCTTCCTTCCTCCTATGAACTGTTTCGTGGTGACCGAAGCTCTAAAATGGGTGGTGGTTGCCTCATTCATGCATCTAGAAACATTAGAGCAGAAATGTTTAGTGATACTGTTCTTAATAAAGTGTCTGATTTGATATGGCTCACTGTGCAAGCCAATGAATAATCAGATGTATATATGGAGCTGCAAATACTCATCGATTGATTGGCGTGGCTATTTGTGAGTTGTCTGCCAGGGCTGTCGCTCTTCAACCTCCTTGTAATCAACTGGTAGACACATCCCGGTCCACTATGCTTTGAAAGCAGACTTAGTGTTTCAGACACACATGATTGACAACAACATATGCACCTACCTACGAGAAAAAACAACATTGTCGATTAGGCATTTTGTCATGATATCATACCAAAATCTATGGCGATCAGCGTAAAGTTACCCAACAGCGACCATAAAATCGTCCTCCGCACCCTACAGTTTCTCGCGACACGCAACTAATCCAAAAAATATGGCGTTTTTGATGCGGAGACTATAAAAACTCTGACTGGTACAATTTCCAGTTCCTAATTTAGCACTCTGACTGGACTGAGTTCTTTGCAATTCTTGAAGTCTGGTACATCACATATGTTCAATATCACTAATAAATCTGCTATAGACACTTTTCTCCGCCAAAACGTCTGATTACACAATGACTCCATTTGTCAGCCGGAAAACGGTGCTAAGCTACGGTGACTACAACGGGCATATTGTATTTTAAAGGACTTCAGCACCCTACAGTTTCTCGCGACACGCAACTTATCCAAAAAATAATGTTCAGGATTTCAATTGTGAAATTTTGAACAGTAATCTTCTAATTTAGATAATCATCAGACTTTACCGTATGTCAGGTGAATAGAAGAGAATTCGAAGTACGAAGCTGGATGTCTGTACATTGTAACCGAATGTTCGGTAGGAATAGTTTAGCTTGTAGAAAAACATTGACGATCATATTTTCCACACTTTGACGATATTTTATTTAATGACAACCTTCAAGTCATCCTTTAATGGCTGAATAAGAATGTGGCGGGTTTCGCTTGGCAGAACAACCACCTCAGCATATTTTCAGAAGTAGCAGGTGTATAGGAGCAACATCAGTATCAATGATTAGTTGCCTCATCAATCAAAAATAGCATAAATCAAATAAAATGTTCTGCCTTACAGACATGGGTGGACTGAAATGATCGCCCATACCGTCAATGCATTCCGGTCAGTAACTCCATCCTCCCTATACTTATGTGTTGATAGGTTCGTGTAAAATGTCTGTAAGGTAACATTTTACGTTCTACTCGAGCATCTGTGTTCCATATCTTGTTGAAAAACACTATTTCTGCAAGTTGCTTTCACAACCTTGTCTGATTGTTACAACTAATGATTAATTAGTTAAACATTAGTACAATACAGTTAACAGTAATGGGGAAAAAGTACGGATTTTTAAACATGATATATGCATTTAGATGTGGCACAATATTCCCGCACAAACGCATTCACAAAGTCACATGGATTTCACCGGACCACACTACTGAAAACCAAATCGACCATATCTGTATCAACAAAAAGTTCAGAAGGACCATGGAGGGTGTGAGAACCAAGAGAGGAGCTGATGTAGCTTCAGATCACCATTTGCTGGTAGCCAAGATGTAGAAGCAACTGCGAAAATATTTAACAACCGCTTGAAGAAGATTTGAGATGAGGAACAAGTACCATCAGATTGGAAAGAAGGATACCTCATCAAAATACCAAAAACAGGCGATCTCAGCAAGTGTGAGAACTACAGAGGCATTACTCTTCCCTCAATACCAGGCAAAGTCTTCAACAGGGTATTGTTAAACAGAATGAGGGACTTCGTAGACGCCCAACTTCGAGATCAACAGGACGGATTTCGTAAGGATCGATCGTGTACTGACCAAATTGCTACATTACGGATCATTGTGGAGCAATCAATTGAATGGAACTCACCACTCTACATCAACTTCATCGACTACGAGAAAGCATTCGATAGCGTGGATAGGAAAACACTGTGGAGGCTTCTTCGACACTACGGTGTGCCTGAGAAAATAGTTAACATCATACGGAATTCTTATGATGGATTCAACTGCAAAATCGTGCACGGAGGACAGCTAACCGACTCTTTCGAGATGAAGACCGGTGTCAGGCAAGGTTGCTTACTCTCACCCTTTCTCTTTCTCCTGGTGATTGACTGGATTATGAAAACGTCAACATCTGGAGGGAAGCACGGTATCAACTGGACAGTTAGGACACAGCTGGACGATCTGGACTTCGCAGATGACTTGGCTCTTCTATCGCACACTCAACAACAAATGCAGGAGAAGACGACCAGTGTAGCAGCAGCCTCTGCAGCAGTAGGTCTCAACGTACATAAAGGAAAAAGCGAAATTCTCCGATGCAACACAACATGCACCAATCAAATCACTCTTTATGGAGATGCCTTGGAGGACGTTAACACCTTTACATATCTGGGCAGCATCATCGACAACCAAGGTGGATCCGATGCAGAAGTGAGGGCACGGATTGGCAAAGCAAGGGCTGCATTTCTACAGCTGAAAAATATCTGGAACTCCAAACAACTTTCAACCAACACCAAAATCAGGATTTTCAATACAAATGTGAAGACAGTTCTACTGTATGGAGCGGAAACTTGGAAAACTACGAAAGCCATCATCCAGAAGATACAAGTGTTTATGAACAGTTGTCTACGCAAAATACTTCGGATTCGTTGGCCAAACACCATCAGCAACAACGTACTGTGGGAGAGAACAAACCAGATTTCAGTGGAGGAGGAAATCAGGAAGAAGCGGTAGAAGTGAATAGGACACACACTACGAAAAGCACCGGACTGCGTCACGAGACAAGCCCTCACATGGAACCCTGAAGGCAAAAGGAAAAGAGGAAGGCCAAAGAACACACTACGCTGAGAAATAGAGAAAGATATGAGAGGAATGAAAGAACATTGGACAGAACTGGAGAGAGAAGCCCAGGACAGAGTTG